TTTGAACTAATTTACCAGTATCGATCTGCCCAATCTCCATTAACTAGATAGTCATTCATGCGCCGAGCTAGTAACAGATCCGTAAAAACAAGGTCGACTCATACTAACTTTTTATCGATTTTAAAGTAGCCTTTGATAGCGCGAAAAGGAGCTGCCTCTCTCTACACTGCTATATTTAAATTTGATAGCCCTCACTCTTGCCAACTGCTGCTACTTTGAACTGAGAAGGCAATAGAAAAGTAAAACACTTAGCATACCCGCCCTGCTTAATGGTGTAGCGACTAGAGCTCTAGATACTCCTGAGTAGCTCGATGCTCGCTCGGTACTCGTTCGTTGCTCAACTGCTCAAATGATAGTTTGAAAATTTTCAAATTTAAATTTTTTTATCCAAATTTCTTTAGTATTATATTTCACTGAGTTCCAAACTTTGCAGAAATAAAATTAAAATTATAAAAGCAGGTTCTGAGAAAAACGTCAAATTTTTTATTCAAAATGCTCGAAAAAGTTCAAACTCAAGCTCGTGAATTTTCGAGCAATGAGCACTGAACGAGTGTGCGAGTACGCGTTGCTCAAATGCGCGAGCAGCTCGAAAATGTACGAAAAAAGTCTTCAGCTCTAGTAGAGACCAGCACAATGGCATGATCGTATGAGTCGGCGTGAGGAGTTTTCGAGTAAATTGTTCAGCATAAGGTTTAGTAGTAGCGAGTACCCCAAACGGTGGAACGATCAACATCCTCTGTGATGTAGAGCGAACTACAATTTATTCTAAGCAGCCACCGCATAGCTGGTAGATATTTATAAAGAACATTTATTTGATGTCAGAAAAGTACTCGGAGGTCTTGGCGGCAATTAGAAAAATTAATTTACTATAATTTTAGATGTTGGTCGAACCAGAAATCGAATTCTGGTCTTCTGAATGTTATAACCATAAGAGCTAGCGGCTACTCTGACTAAGTCATGTTGTCCGGGTGGATGAAAATAGTCCAGCTTTGAAATATTTATTTCATAAAGTATCCGTTGGCGAAAGCAAGCAGAGGAGAACTTCCACTCCGTTGGAAGAAACTGGTTCTGAAACACTTGTTTTCACTTGGTGTCATCAATTAGTGCGTTAAAGTTAGCGCAACTGCTTATTTTTTGACTTTAATCAGATAATTTTTTTGTTCTTTTATACGAAGACCATTAATTTTGTTGGCGACTGTACGTAGGGAGCATGAAATGTCTCCTCGCAGCTCACTTATACTAAGCCATAGATGAGTACTCTCAAAGAGCAGCAATTCGAGTGGCAAACTTTTTACTTTATTGCCTTTTGGGTTTGTTGAATAGCGCTGCATAGAGATGGAATCGAATCAACCAAAAATATCGATTTAACTGACCAAATTTTCATATTTTGAGTCACAGCTAAAACGAAAAACCTCAACACATTAAGAGTAATCTTAGCTGTCTAACCTACTCTTTTCCATGCTTGACCGTCTAAGACAATTGTTGGACGGCTTGTGGAACGAAGACATCAACGAGTTGGGCTGTGGTACCTTCCTAATCAAGGTACATCATTAGTCAAATGGTTAGTAATTCTGGCCAGACTAATTTCAAAATTATGGAAAAATAATTTTTTCTAATTGCGGTCGCTTTAGGCAGGGAATTTAAGCCCCTTGTAGTGCTTACATAAAATAAAAATAAAAATAAAAATAAAAATAAAAATGTAACAAAAATTCTTTAGCCGTTCGTAAAATTGTTGATCTTTCCACTTTTTGGAAAAACATCAACAGCACTACACACAGCACAAATTAAAAAAGCAACTCGGCCGAGAATCTCTTCAGCGGTTACAAAGCACCAATTATATTATGTATTCCGGTATCTTTCCGTCGAAGTCCTGAAACAATAACTTAAATTAGGTAAACACAGAAGGAAAAATTTGTTTCAGTAATTTCAAACTATTTTTTTTAACTTAATTATTTTTTTTTTACAAATAAATTATATCTATTGAATGCTATCTGTTTGCTTTAATTACAAATACAATCTTTATGTATTATATGCATATAAAAACACTATATAAAGGCAGTCTCAATTATTTTATAAATTAATTAATCGTAAATAATTTATTTTAATATGCGATTTCTTTTTATTTAAATACAAGTCTTCTTCTTTTTAATATAACATATTTTCCAAAACGAACTGAAAAAAAGAGGATTTTATATTTTGCATCACTTAGGTGCGGTCCTGCATCCGTAGTACTAAAAACAAGAAAAGCCCGTTTCAAGAAAGTCACTTAGTTGAAAATAATTTTCAAAATAATTCGTTTTGCATATTTTTGATATTTCTTTAATGAAAATAAATTTTTATTAAGAAAATATTGACCTGAATTATCCTATCAAGACCTTTTGCCATTCGTCGGCTTTGGGAGAAACTTCAGTGGTTTACCGGCAAAGAATTTGGACAATTAATTTCCAGTGAGTTTTCGGTTGGTCCAATTTTTTGTTGTAAGTTGGTTAATTATTGACCGTAGAGCTGAAACTTGACCTTTCCGATAGGTTGTAGCAGCTCAAAATTATTTTTTGTTTTTGCGCTAATTCATGCGATACCCAAACAACGAGCTTCAGTGAGTAGTGAGCGTTTTTTAAATGATGCCGAATTCTGATATGAGTGATGTCTAATGCCGCTACTGTCTCCTGTCAGCGTATGGCTGGTCTTGCTTCACTCGTTGTAGAGTGAATAACCCTTTTCCGAAATAAGAGTATCAACACCTTCAACGCGTGGACATTTTAATTATGCAATATTTACAAAATACGGTCTGAATTTAAAAGCTGTGAATCTTGATCGTAGTTGTTGGCCTACGAAAGTCCACTTATCACATCTTATACAATTTGAGATCGTAATTTGAGGTTATGTGCTGTTCTATAATGGTGAGCACCATTACGTTTATCGGTTAGAATGACTGATTTCTGAAAGGACAAAGGCAGCCATGTTTCTACCTCAAACTATATTCAATATTAAAAGATTTGGAGTTTCGAAGTAAAGTGCGGTATTTAGAAAAGTGGCCTTCAACAAGAAAAAAAAAAATAAAAATAAAAATAAAAAAATTAAAAAATATATATATTTTATGACCAAGAACTTAGTTTTATTTTAAAGAAAAAAGGATTTTTTTAAATGTTTTAAAAATCATTTTGAACAAACGGCCATATATATGTACTATATATAATTGGTGTTTTGTAACCGCTGAAGTGATTTTCGGTCGAGCTCCTCCTCCAATTTGTTTTTTATGCGGCTTGATATTTTCCTAACAAATGGAGGGACCTACAGTTTATACTAAACCGCCGGCTTAGGGTTTTTTTTTATTTTATGTTAGAAATGCACTCGGAGCGGTTGACATTTCTTGTAAGTATTCCAGCCGGGAGGCACACTTGTCTACCACCTTATGCAGCAATTGGCACGGTATGACAATAATAATGCGCCGAATATATTCTCTTCCAAGGTGTCAATCGTCTGTGGACATACATAACCTCATAAACACTAGTCCAACGGCATTAGAACGCATGATCGTGGAGTCCACGCTACAAGTTTCCTATAATAAATTTAATGTGCCGTCTAAAGCCGCGACTTTTTGATGGTGTTACTAAATCTCAATAGTGGCTTATGGATTATTATCACTTTAAATGGGAGAATTTTGTCCTTTAACGTACCCATTCGACCAAAAAAGAGCTTTGTCATTGAACAAAATTTTCTTGTGAAAATTGGGCTCGGTTGCCATATCCTATTGGACAGCTTCAATGCTTGCACGTGTAGAACTTTGGAAGTCCGCAGAGCAAGATTCTTCACACGGCATCTCTGAGGATGCGCTTTATCCACTAGAGTAAACGTGGCGTGAAACCAATCCATGGTTGGCCGAAAAACAAGCTCAGCTGGGTGATTATGTCGACCGAATATTAGACGTATTTGCAAACGTTGTTTCGGAGCAAGTCGGTTCATTATGAAAAGGCAAACCAAATCAACTCCGAAAATAGTATTGCTTTAATTCGCTATTTAATATATTTAATTTTTTTTTTTTGTAATTTTTTTTTATTTTTAAATTTTTTTTATTTTCATAATTGTCTTTCAGTTTTATTTAAATAACAATATTTTATTCGATTAGTATATAAGTATGAGGCACTTCTTACAATAATTATAAATAATCGAGAATGCAAAAAATATGCTTATGGTTTTTTTCCTAATAAATAAATATTGCTAAAAATATACAGATCTACATTATGCCACACACAATACAGCACTTGGCAACATATCAGCAAAAAACACTTTACTCTCTCTCTCTTACTCTTACTCAATTATTGTTATTAATATTAATTTTTTTTTATTGTAACTGCATAAAAACTCTTTCCGCTGTGTTACTCTACTCCTTTCGCTCCAACAAAAAATTTCCGTTTTTTCTTTTGCTAAAATAATTAAAAAAAAAACCCAAAATGGAATGTGCATCCAAATGTGAAATGTTTTATTGAAAATGCCTAAAATTAATAATAATAATAATTTTTTAAATTTTCCAAAATATGTCCGTAGTAAAATAGACCGTCACAAATGCTTGAAAGTGTTTCGATTTTTCTATTTCCTACGAATTTTTACTGCTTGGAAAATGAATAATTAGCGAAAAACTTAATATTAAATGCATTCATACATATATAAAAACAACAAATAATATATTTAAACTATCATTTTTTAACGCATTGCATTTTGCGTAAAAAAAAAATTTGAATGCAAAGTTTTTGAGAAGAGAACTTTTACTGTAACATATGCTACACCGTTAAGAAATCTCAAAAACAAAAAAAAAATAATAATAGTTAATTACACCCTCCAAAGTTCAATAACTTATTCTAAAATAAAAAATATATTCTAAAAACAAAATTAACGAATTTCCTCTGAATTAACCACACATTTACACTCCAACTACTACAACAACAACAACAATAACAATAACAATAATCAAAAATGTCACGCGAAAACTCGCCACGCCACAGCATACGACGGCGTCATAATCAGCATCTACAGCAGCAACAACAAATGCAACAACAGCAACCACATAGTTTGCAACAAATAGTAACGACACAACAACAGCAACAGCAACAACAACAACATAACCAACAGCCACCTATAATGGAGCATGTGGAACAACAACAAACGCCAAATCAACAACAACAGCAAACGCATGTGGTTGGCGGCGGCAGCTACGGTGCTGGTGTTGGCGCTGGTGCCGTTGGTGGTGGTGCTGCTGGTGGTGGATTCGAATCTGCCTTGGCACCGCTGTCCAGCTCCGCCTCGAACATTAGCACCGTCATCGATGATGGCAATGGCGAGAATGCCATGTTGCCGCCGCTCACCGGTCCCGGACCGAGTAGACAACGTTCATTGCGCGATCGCCTCAAAGACGGCATTACCGGCAGTTTCTCATGGCAGTAAGTTGGATTTTTGGCGTTGTTTGAAGTTTTCAATTTGATTGCGTAATTTTCTTTGTAAAAAGTTCTTTATATTAGAAAAGTTTCATTTCGATTTTTTTTTAGCACTTTTTTAGCACTTGGACTTTTTAATTTCAGTACGATTTCTTTGTTTTTTCCTTTATTACCAGAAACGGAAAATGTAGTTTTGAAAAATAAAATAAAAGTAGAATGAAATTAAAAGTGAGGTTAGTAAGAATTACACACTGTAAAGTAAAAATGAAATTAATGTAGAAATTTTTATAATTTTTTGAATGGAAATACAAGCAAGTAACACAGAGAGAATCATTTCACTTATACATAAGAAACTTCATTTCGCTCTATCTCAACGATTACATCTGGACCTCAATAGGACCCATTGTGGTGCGACAAAAACTTGAACACTAGACTTGGTTATCCAAGCATTTCCCAACGAACGTAATTAGATCCATCACTTTAACGTCGGTTATCTTTGAAGACCATCCAGCAGTAGGGTCTCACAATGCTAGAACCAAACGCTGCCCCAAGCAAGACGGTCCCTTAGAAGATCCTTGCAGCTTTTGCAGCATTTCCTGTAAGGAGCCTCTAGTCCCTCTGCATGTCATCCTATGAGTTAGTAGCTGCTCAGTACTCTTATTACTTTGGACATGCCTCTTTTTTTTTTAAATTTTTTTATATTATTTAAACCAGGTTTGAGTGGATTTCCGGTCTGTTCATATGTAAATTTCTTGAGAAGTAGCTGGCAAGTAGCAAAAGTCATACCAATTTCTTTTTTATAGAGAAGAATCTGCTTGAGCATACCTTGTACAGCAAGTTCATCCGCCATATAGTTTCCCTTGAAGTTTCCATCGAAGTCTCTAGGGCCAAGCACCCCCGTGAAAGATAGTTCCGTTTGGTTATCTCCTGTAAAGATTAGCGGTACTCCAGGCCACGTTTGGAACATGTAGTCGAGTCTTTCCCATCATCAACAACGGATATTGCATTTTCACTGTCCTTTAGCATGCTGGGGTAGTGTTACCTCCATACAGCAAGTACGCTCTGGACATCGGTTACCAGATTTCCCCATTGATTTCTACAAAGTATAAATATTGAAATTTTCGGTGAGTCGCCGCATCGTTTCATAGAATTTTCGAGCATTAACGAGCAACGGCCCGCACCTCAAGCTCTTCATACTCATGCATTTCGACCTCTACCTTATTCCTTTCAAGATTGTCTCCACTGCTGCTCGACATTCCTTTTGTAGCACAGGCGAAAACAAATTGTCTCTGTAGCGGCGGTATGTAGGAGTTTCCTTATATTGAGCTGCTAATTAGTGCACTCAGGAAACAACTGTACAAGTCGAATGTTCAACTCTTTGCTGCGGCTGGATACAAAATATGCATATATACAATATTTAAATAAATATATTAGAAATCTCTCTCAGAAGTCGTATTAGTCTGGAGAAGGTTTAGCCTCCGTAAGCTTCAAATACCTGTCAAACTCATTCGTTGCAAGAGAAAGATGCCTTGACGTTGAAATATTTTTACACGTTTTTACAACATCAGCTTGAGGTCTAATGCGATCTCTCTTAAGAGTTCTCACATGACACACGACATTAAATATTCAGCAGAAAATATGAAAGTAATGTGAATGATTTGCTTGTATTTTCAATCAATCGTATTTTCTCGACAAAAACAGCTGACATTTAACTTTGAACTTTAGCACGAATTGTGGCACTTACATATTTGCTTTGACAGTTAAATTGGATTTACGCAGTGAAGTACTAAAGTAAAGTGATCACAAGAAAAGCTTACGAAGCAAAGCGAATGTGTAATAAAATGCTGCGTGACAATTGGCTGTTGAAACTAATATCGTTAGCTCGCTCATGAGAGAAAGTCACTGAAATTTCCATTAAATGGCAATATTAAAAAAAGCATAAAATAATAACTGTGACAAGCGGAAGCACGGAAAGTTGAAGCGCTTTTGGACAGAAGCTTTTGCTTTTTTCGCTGCGTTGCCAAAGCTTTAACTGTCAAGCAAAGCGTAGTGAAATGTGTGCGAATTCGACTTAAAGAATTTAAGTTTATTTATATTGTAATCTTGTAAGATTTGTCGAGAAAATACTGCAAAAATAAGCACAGTAAAAATATTTCGAATAGAAAATAGTTTTTTAGTAAATTTTCACCTAACTTTTTTTAATTTTATGAAAGCACTCGAGCACTTTTAGTATAAACTTTTCACACAATTTTTTAAATATCCATCTCTGTGGGATTATATTCTTATGAAATATGCTATTTATCATGCACTGGAATTCGCCAAAGCACATTACGATTGAGAAGCACAAAGCAAAGAACATTTTTTAATGCAACGTGTGAAAAATAGTGAGTCGTATAAGTAGTGGTACTATTAGTTATTACTTATTGCAGCAGCGTTTGTAGTACGATGATATTAATTTTTTTTTCATTTTCATTTATGGTGAAAGAGTTTCATTAAAAAATATTTCTTAACTTACTATAGAGTGCCGATGGTTAGGCAACTCTGAATTTTTTTAGACTAAAAGTGCAAAATACTGGTATAAAATATAAATATATTTAAATATTAAAAACTTTTCAGGTAAAGTAGACCGCTAAGGCGACTTGTGAGCACAAAGCCGATTTTGAACGGCGCTGAAAGTTGTGTACAAAAAAGTGGGCGCGAGAATCAACTTTTAACTTCGTGCCTACTTATTTAATTATTTTTTTGTTTCTATATCAAGAAAAAGTTCGGCAAATTCGTTTAAAAATATTTTGTGACAAATAAATATATACTAAATTATTCTTTTTTTATTTATTTATATCTATTTTCGTGTAAGAAATTGCGTTTACTTTTGTTTACTTTCAAAAGTTCAGGCCTTTCCAAATTTTCCACGAAGTAAGTTAACTGTGAGAAAAATGTAATTTGAATTTTTTTTTTGTAAAATTAAAAATCTTTAACAATTCTGCTACATCGATTTCGTTGCCTTCAAAATAGTCAGCTGTCGATGCAGTGCACTTATGTAAACGCTTTTTCCAATTATCGAATCATGTCGAGTAGTTACATTCTGGTATGGCCCTCAGAGAGCGCGCCGATTCACGCTTAATCTCCTCAATCGACTCAAAACGGTGTCCTCAAAGTAGTCTCTTGAGTTTCTGGAAGAGCCAGAAGTTACATGGTGTTAAGTCCGGCGAATACGGTGGTTGCGGAACGATTTTCGTGGAATTTTTAGCGAAATGGACACGAAGAATGACTGCTGTGTGCAATATTGTGATGCAGTAACCACGAAGGCACTTAGCGTTAGGCGTTTAGTAAAGCACAACCTTAACTAAAACACCAATGATGACATTTATATGTCAATAACGGTGCTAACAACATTACGAAAAAAAAAGAATTAACCCGAAATATTAAACGCGCGAAGCTTAAATTACTTTTTGTTCACGGTATAGAAGCATTTTATGTGCTTTCTACATCATACTACGGCGTAGCTTTAATTTATTTGGCACTAACTGTGTGACCTTCTTAGAATGTCTCATGCAATTTATAAACATTTCACTTTTATCCCATGCATTTTTTTTTTTGGAAAAATACTCAAAATGTGAAGTGAATTTGAAGCTGTCAGCAGCGAATTTAGACAAATTGATTGACAGCATAAATTAAGCCATGCCTTTGAAAAGTGGCAAAGTTTAATGCGATTTTGGCAAATGTTTTGAAATGTGAACTGGAAGGAGCTAACAGAGTTTGTAGCTTAGCTTTTCTGGGCTCAAGAAGGTTTAAACGATATTAACCCATGTACAGATATCGATCTATTTTGATATTTGAAAAAGGGGTTAGAGCGGAAGCTTCTTCATAACTAAACGTAAATCGTAAACATATATATATATAAATATATACGTATGTAAATCTAATGCAATATGTCAAGTACCCACATCAACTTTGAAATTAAAACTGATGTGATTATTGCTATTTTCTAGAAATACCTGTTCGATAATCGAGCCCATATTCTGAATATAATTAATATTGACAGAAATAGACAGAAAGATGTTATAACATAAATTAATTCAAGGACATAAAACAAATAAATTCCATAAATGACGATTTAAATGATAATACTTAGTGCAGGATATTTTGATGTCGTCAATCGTATCGGGCTTATCTGCCTAGGCAAGAAACTTTACAGACACACAACATTAGTTTAGCGGCGTGCGCTTACCATTTTTTTTTTTGCTTTCGCCCCTCGGCAGGGAATGTCAAGCCCTCCGAGAGTACTTCTGACATGAAATAAAAAGCTCCTCATAAAAAAAACCATCAGCCGTTCGGAGGTGGCTTAGTATAAACTGTAGGTCCCTCCATTTGTTGAAAAAACATCAAGACACAAAAACAACAAATTAGAGGAGGAGCTCGGCCGAAAATCGTTTCAGCGGTTACAGAGCGTCAATTATATATATGCACATATATATACAAACCAAGATCTATCCGCAAAAGCTTGCATAAAGTAGATCTGCACCTTAGCGGATGGACTCTTTAGGGCTTTCTTCGATACTCCAGCGTTGTCGGTTTCGGGTTTCTAAAACTCTTACAATTTCAGTTTTGCTTGGGAGAATATTAAGCCCTCAAATTAAACATTTACCAAAAAAAAAAACATATTAACTTGTAAACAGCTGGCGTTGTTTCCTTTCTCTTCAGGAGGCATCTTCCAACAGATAGGAGATCATTTTCCTCTTGGGGCTTCACAGCGAAAGCTCAGGGTGCCGAAGTCCAAAATGCTTTGAGAAGAGTGGGTCATTTAGGCCCTTTCGACTGTGTCGACAGCGTTCGCGATGACTGAAGGGACCGTTTTGTTTCGGCTTTTCCAACGGCTTCCTTATTACTCGTGCAGGCATCCGAGATTAAATTGCGAAAACCTTCCCTAAAGTGGATCAGCACAGCTGGTATTGTTGCGCGTGATGACGTATGGACTCATTTGTGCCTTCTTCGATACTCTGCACCACACCAACATTAGTCTCTTCGGTATTCACTGTGCGACGTATCTTAGGATAAAATTAGAACGAACGTAGAGCGATATCGATGTGTGAT